CATGTTTTTGCATGAAGAGCATTCACGATTTCCTATGGCAAATACATGCTCCCTTCAATTAAAACTGCCAGTCGTTCATAACAGTTACGAGGAATTTAAAACAGATATGGATTTTGCTATGGGTAACGCTAAAACATTTGGATTCGCTTAATTTTTGTTTATTTTTCGTTTATGTATACATGTAATATTCGTTCATAACAGTTACGTATAATTTAAAATAGATATGGATTTTGCTATGGGTAACGCTAAAATATTTGGATTCGCTTAATTTTTGTTTATTTTTCGTTTATGTATACATGTAATATTCTTAGGATAATAAAAGATTTTGATAACGTTTTTGTATTATTACATATATTCGTAACCTTTATTTAGATATTTAATGTTAAAAAATACAACACTTATATAGGTTACCCATAATAGGTATCATTTTATAGTACTGAAAGAATATTTAAAAACTTCTGTCTCAAATTTTTGTATAATTCTATGGCTGCTTCTACGTGTTTGGTCTTGACCCATCCCTCCTCCTCCATAATTATTGCAGCCAACTGGTACACGTCATAATCTGAAGTGAGTCTTGGCTTGGGTATTGTTTCCAACCAAAGTTCTGCCATCTCAATGCTTACAGGATGTAAGTAGTCGGTGGACATGAAATCTTGAGGTCTGTTATACATCATGAATGGTCGTCCATAAGGTGCAATGCTATTTCTAGAACGCGCTATTCTATGCGTATTCCATTCCAGGACAACCGTATCAAGTTCATCCTAGACAAAAAAAGGTTTAAGTTTAATGCTAATTATTGTGGTGTAGTTGGTTCGCTGTATGGTTTACTTGATTTGATCTTTGACAGCTGCTGATTAGCATTACTGATATCAAAAAATTACTTTTTATTACTGCGCAGTTCTACGCCTATCGAGTTAAAAATATCAAACGCGGTCATTCTTAAAAAATGATTTCTCTGAAACATTTTACATAATTCGTTGTTTTAGTTTTAACTAGTAGACAAACATTCTGAACCTGGCTTCAAATAAGCATGCATTCAAATATTATTACACATGGTGATTCATATTATAAGCATCTGGTGAACGACTTGTGTGGCCTTATACATACTACTACTCACCAAAAGCGTTATTATAAAAACCATTTTTTTATAAAATATTTTTTTTGTAAATTACGTCACGCTAATTTTGGGCACGCCACAGAAATAAATTTAAAAAAAAAGATTAAAAAAGTACCCTAAGTTTTTCTTTGTATACTTATTTAAAGCCCGGTTGAGTAACAACTGTAATAATGAATTATTATGTAAAATGTATTCTTATTCTATGTGTAAAATATTTCACAAAAATCATTATTATACCAGGGTCAAATTGTAGGTACTTAAATGGTGACATATATCCTTTTGAATACTAGCAAACATTGCATCTCAGATTGGATTAAACAGAAGTTATGTTACAGACCTTCGACAGAACCTGTTATTATCACTGTTAACAGTACTTATTAAATAATTATTGTTTATCAAAGACCGACTTACCTTTATAATATCTAAGAAGCAAAATTGTATAAGTGATTTATCCATTAGGCCTCCTGAGAATGAGCCCTCATCCTTTAAAGTATGAAATACATTCAACCAAAATTGCGAATGATGTTTTCTTAAGGTTGACCACCACGCCTCTATGCGTTGATTTGCATGACTTGTTCCATATAAGAATCCTGGAAGATGTGATAGCGCATCCGGTCCATCCAGTTTTAGATTTGTTTGTATTCGTTCAATGATGACATTTTCAGTACCCAAATCGGCGCGTAAAGTCTGTGGACATCCCCCTTTAATTGTAACTGTTTGCATGAAATGATAAGCAATTACCGAGGGGTCGTTGGTATTTGGTCCAGCTTTCAACCAGATAATATAACGAGAAAATCCGTCTATGCAACCAGTTATACAAATTCCAAATGGCTTCAGTTTATCGTAACAATCGGTATGCTAGAGAAAATTGGGGCCTTTATTGTAGTATTGTCTCCTTCGTAGACGACGTCGCTGACGTAGTCTAACTCCATCAGGATCCAAAGTGCGTAGCAGTTCACTGACTGTATTTTGAGTCACAACAAATCCGTGTTGAAGGCACTTAAGGTGCATCCACCTGTAGCCGTGTAGCTGACCGTGTGTCGATATTTGTGTTTCCAAAAATTGTACCATAATATTAACGTCCGTGTAAATATTTCTTCGAAATAAACGAAGTCGCCTTAGATGCCTTCGTAAATGACGTAAACTTAGAACATAACCGTCTTCTAGAAGACATGTCAAAATTTCTTTATGACTTAATCCGATTTGAAAGTAGGATTTAATATATTCGTCCATAATATCTAATGAATACACTTCGTCAACACTTAACCGGCATATAACAAGGCTCGCTTCTCACTACTGAATAACGTATTGCTGGGTAGTAAATTGTGCAGGACAAATTGTAAATAGACAGAAAAAGTGTAAATTTACAGAAAAAGTGTAAATAGACAGAAAAAGTGTAAATTTACAGAAAAAGTGTAAATTTACAGAAAAAGTGTAAATAGACAGAAAAAGTGTAAATTTTCCCAAATATATTTTTTATTATTGATATGGCAGCTCTACGCTATCGGTGACAACATTTTTTTCACCTGGTACACTTGGCAAATTTTGCCCCATATAATATATAATTATGTCAAATAATTTTTTTTTTACCAAATTTATTGTTAATATATAAATGTATTTATATATGGGCAGAAAGACCTCGGTCATTAGCCTTTTGGTTTATTCCAATAAAGATATTTACTACTATTAAACGCTAGGATTTAAATTGTGCGGATCCATTGTAATAAATCACTTGAAAACACACAGAACATAAGCATAAACAATAATACTAATAATAGATTAGATAAAGATATACTAATACCAAAGAATAAACCATACATAAATTAGGTTAGGTATTTTACTAACATTCACAAAATGTCAAATTTTCTCTCGGGAATCTTGAATTCTACTACAAATCACAATCTACACAATGGATTAATCCATTGTAGCACAATTGTGCTACAAATCAGTAGTAGAAGTGGATTCGCCCGATAATGTATGAAAATATTCACTTGCTGGTTTCAAGAATACAGCTGTAGCTACAGCTACCTAGGTACAGTTGTATTCATTAAAAAAGCGTACAAGAATTAGAATGAGAGAAAACTGTCAACATTATTGCGTAAAACCGGCTTTCCACTGACTTAAGTCACTATAACTGACAGTAGAAAATAAAAATGCCTCTTCAGTTAAAAAGGCTCAAATAGTATCAAGAATCGAAGAAGAATGGTCAATTCGTACTGTGGTACAATAGAAATAAAAAATCTATATTAAAAATTAAGCAACGCTGGGAACAGGAAGATTTACTAAACCAAAAAGTTGGTTCAGGTCGTCCCAAAATGTCCATTCCTGAACAGGATGCTGCTTTTTTGGGATATCGGAGGATTTATGGGAAACTATGCAACTACTATACCTACTATACTGCTGGGAAGATATTAATCCAAATATTGTATTAAAATTTAATTCAGTTCATCCCAAATAGATTGGCTCAAGTAATACAAAAACAGGGATGCATGACTAAATATTAATTTTTTTTAATGTTTGTTTTTTCATTATTAAAAGGTAATAATTTTTGTAATATTATTTAATTAACCTACGACGTCAATGCTCTTTATAACCTATAGTAATTATTTTAATGACTTATGTCAGTGAAAAGCCGGTTTTAAGCAATAATATTATTTTGACAGTTTTCTCTCATTCTAATTCTTGTACGCTTTTTTATTGAATACAACTGTACTACCTAGTAGGTAGATGTTTTCGAGAGAACTCCGCCCATTTATATTACAAATTTCTACTCCTACGAACTAGAGAATAGGCGTCCAGACGAAGGGCACCTTGTGAAATTGGTGTTAACAAATAAGGTATATTTACGAGTGTTGGAATGAAATTCCTCCATACTAAAGCCTGATTTATAGATTGCCTTTCTTCCTTCCTTCCTCCCGTAAAAGATGAACAATACTAAATCCGTAGTGCCGTTTATAGATTCCCGTACGGAAATCTATAAACGGCACTACGATTTTCGTGTTGTTCATCTTTTACGGGAGGAAGGAAGGAAATTAATCTAAAGGCTTTAGTGTTCTTGTATATTTGTTATAGTACCGACAACCTTTGAAACGTTTTACTTTCGGCGTAACTTTATAATCTGTGGGCGTACCCGTGGCCAGTGATGCCAGGTCGTTTTTTTTTTAAAGCGGCAGATTTAGTTAAAAAAAGCGGGAGATTCGAATAAAAAACGGTAGTTTTTAATTTTTTTTTTAATACCATGGTTTTTTCTATTTTAATAATTTTAATACTTACGTAACCAAAAAAAATAGATTGAATTTGTCAAAATAAAACAAAATATGATAAACAAAACAGAAAATATATTCTATAGATATTTCACAACTTTCACAACCGTAAATAAATAATCACTAATCGAAATCTTTAACTTAAGAATCTCTTACTTTAAAGTTCTTTTTCTATGTTCATGCCTAAAGAAAATAATTTCATCCAATCAAATTTGAATATTCGCGTACTACAAATTTGGTTGGCTGAAATACCCCGTGACTGAGACACTGACATTTGTGAATGATAGAACCATTGAGTAAAGAATCTTACTCAATGATATAAGCAACTAATTATGTCATATCAATATTTAATAATAATAATAATTAGGCAACCCATATTTTACTTATGTTTCATATAAATTGTATAATACGAAGGAGAATTTGTGAATTTTATTTATAAAAAGAAGTAATAAAGCGGGAGATTTTTTTCAATAGCGGTAGAACGGGAGATTGTTTCCAAAAACGGTATATCTACCGCTAAAACGGGAGACCTGGCATCACTGCCCGTGGCCAGCAGGCTGCGGGACCCGAAAACGCGTTTGCACCTACAAATGGCAACATTGAAAATATATTGCGCATTCAGTTTGCGCATTACGAATGGCGTAGAGTTGTTATTGTTAAAAGCGTTTAATAAAGACTAATAATTATATTATGTTTATTTGTATAGCATTTAAACAAAAAAGTCAAAAGTGATTGAAGAAATTAGCCAAGTAAGTGGTTATAAGGACCGCTTTAGTGGGGGCTTATTTAAGTTTAAAAAAGTATGTCATACAATGGGATTTTCAGTTCTTTTTATAAAGGAATCAATTATATTTACAATTTTTAAGACTTGTGTTAGTGGCAGTGTCTGTATTTATAACATTTATTTTCTATGAACAAAAAGAATTTACGTAATAATTTTAATTAACATAAAATGTTTTATTTTGATTTTGAACGCATGGAATAACACTCCCCCGTCTCGCGCACAAGATGGCTGCGAACAAGTTCTCGATTTATGCAGTTTGAAATAATTATTTTGTGAGAAAAATTGATGTTTGTAAATATTTACAAGATTTATTTTGGTTTATAAACTTTTATTGGTATTAACGGTAATTTAATAACTATATTTGCTTTTTTAGGAACATAAATGGGACTTGATGGCCAAAATATATTTAAATGGCTTTAGAAATAAAATATCTTTGTCATAGTGGTTAATAATGGCCATATTAAATGGCTGCAAATAGTGATGGCTACAGTGAAATAATAACTACTCCTACTTGTGAAAGAAATACTCAAGATTATAGATTGCCACAACATTTTAATAAGGTGATTAGTGGATTAGGTAGAATTTTTGAAAAAGAGGATAAAGTTTGCAAACTGGAGCCCTGGAATTCTGTCCGTGTAACGCTGTCCATTCCTCGTGAAGCAGCGTTACGTCTCCGTCAGTTAGCCAATGAGAGTTCACAACAACTGAGAGCACTTGGAATATTAAGTATTCAAATTGATGGAGACCAAATAATATCTTTAAGAATTGCTTCAAATTCAGTTCATTCTGGCACTCAAGACATTGTATTGAGGACAGCTCAAGGTAAAATATTAAGTGTTGTTCTTTAATTAATACTTAATACCTGATTTTTAGAAGACAACGAAAGAGCAGACAGTGATGCAAACCTGTTAAGGTTCCAATCTTCAAGTAGAGCATCAGCTTTAAGTAATAATGAATCAGGAATACAAGTTAAATTTAAATCTCCAAATGTGGTTTGTCCACCAGACACTGTTGTCCCAAAAGTGGATGGTGTTACTAGTTCTATAGCTGCTAACACAAGCACAGGAAAAACCTATATTGGTCCATTTCCATTTGCTAGCATGAATCAAGCAAAGCATTTTAATAGAGAAGCCCCTTTTAATTCCTTACCCCCTCCTTATCCAGGTAAACACCCTCCTGTTACAATATCAAGTCCATTATTAGTAAATTTGTTACAAAATGAAGGGACAAAAGAACATCCTAAAAGTACAAAGTTGCAAGAAACGTGTGTAAGTGCTCATAATGTTAGGACAAAAAATGTTTCACCAAAAGCAGTAAACATGAATCAACTGGCTTCTAATATAACTCTAGTGCATCAAGACAATAGTGATGAAAAAACAGTTCCATCCACTCAAACAACTGTGTTAGTGAATAATAGTGTTTCATCAAGCGCCTTATTAACTAATTCTTCCAATAGCACCATATTGACAAGTACAACAATGGTAGTAAATAATATGTCTACTCATCAATATCATCAAACACCTTTAACACTTGTAAGTAAAAGCTATATTTATTTACCATTAATAATGGTTCATTATACAGTTCTCTGTTTTCACCCTTGATTTTAAGTTAAATTTTTAACCATTGCACTTGCAAGCAGAAAAACAGGTATTAAAAATATGTATGTTATGTGGTGAGGCATAATTATTTCATTATTATACAATTTAAAATTGAGTTCTTAAAGATCTTTTTATTTTAATGTGCCTTTATGTATACAAGGAAAAACATTCTTTTCTAATTATAAATAAAAAAATAGTTCTAGGGTCTTTCCATCTCAAATCGACCAGGCAAACAGGGGTAGGTCGTTATTTTTCAACAAATTTTTATTTAGTTTCTCTACCAAAATCATGAGACCCCGTATATTTTTTTGCTTAAATTTGTTTTGTTCACCAGTAGAAAATTTTTGAAAAATGGACAGAAATTTCGATTTTTCTCTTTTAACAAGTGACATTTTTTCTTGAAAATGCGATAATTTGGCCAAAAATGTTTCGATCGTTACAATTTTTTGTTAAATTGTAGGCGAGGGGGAAACCACCTCCAAAAAATATGTACACGTATTGCGGAAATCCCATGATTTCGGAATGATTGCGGTGATTTCGGAGAAATCTTTATAAATTGTTGCGATTTCGGAGGATTGCGACCGAAATCCCATGATTTCGGAATGATTGCGGAGAATTCTTTATAAATTGTTGCGATTTCGGAGGATTGCGACCGAAATCCCATGATTTCGGAATGATTGCGGTGATTTCGGAGAATTCTTTATAAATTGTTGGGATTTTGGAGGATTGCGACATGAAATTAGTGATTGCAGGGCTGCAATGGGATTGTGAGACGATTTCCGTTGGGTAGGGTTGAATTGTAGACATGATTGCTAGCTTGATTCGGTAGTTAATTTGTGCAAAAAGAGTCTATATGACGTCCATGTCGCAAGATGTTATAATGTGACATGGACAATCCCCTCTAATTGTACAAAATCTACCTACCTTATTTTTTAAGCATAAAGGTATTGAGTTTCTTAAACTCACTAAAGCAAAAAAAGGAAGGAAAAAGTCAGTTAGCAAGTCTAGAAAAACCATTATACTGTTTAAATATTTTTATTATTTTAATTTTAACCTTTTAAGTAGTTTTATAAAAGTAAACATTAGGGTGGAACAAAAAATGAATATTTTTAAAATTGAACATTACATTAGACTGGGCCAAAAAAATCAACTATTTTTTTTTTGAAAAGTATACCGAAAATATGGTTTGGGGTGACAAAAAAATATTGTGAAAATTTGAGTCCATAATAAGTCCATATTAAGAGGTCTATCATCGCAGTTTTAATTTTTTTTTCCTCAGCAATTTTTTGTCCCAGAACTCCCAACCCAAACCTTTGAGAACAAAATTTATTCGAAAATATTTTTTGAAAAAAATTGAATGCTCTACAAAAAAGGTAAAAACGAAATTTTCTGTCAGATGAACCGTTTCCTTAAAATCATGCCTTAAAAATTGTTATAGTTTTTGATCTTTTAACTTTGGAATTTTGTATTTCACTACTCGATTCGTAAACTTCCTGAGGAACTTCCATTTTTTAATAAAAAAAAAATAAATCGACGTAAATAGAAATCATAACTTGGTGTCAAATGTAGGTGGGTACTTTTTTTGCAGCTCATTTTTTTATGTCATCATTTAGTAATTAATTCTAATTATCGAAATGTCCTGTTTATTTGTTTTTGGCGTTTAAAAAAAAATATTCACGGCTATTAATTAGAAGAAGCATGTTGATTTTTTTCAAAAACCTTTCTTTAAACGAAAGAAAATCAGTGTCAGAACCTCTCAAAAATATATGAGGATTTTACAAGCCATGAAACTTTTTTTTTAATTCTCTGCGCACATTCCATACCACTGGTAATTTTTAGTATTACTCTGTAGAATACGAATTAAGAAGGCTATGGCAAATTTGACACCGGGATCTTTTGTTTCGTGAAAAATATAGGACATTGAAGTAAAAACCGCAAAACTCTTATCTCTGATAATAACTTCCCTACCCTCCAAAAAGTGTCAAAAATGGGACCAACTGAAAAGTAGTCGAATTTTTTTTCTTTGGACTAATTCATTTTTATTTTAGTTAAACAGTCGCCAGAATAAAAACCGACATAAAAACACCGCTAAAGTAAAAAAAACAAAAAACGGGTCTGGTGCGCCGATAATTAGACTTAATTTTTGTTGACGTTGCGTAGTGATGTCGCGAAACGAGAAAAGAAGAGAAGTGTTTCTTTTGTCTCGTCTCGTACAGGGAGAGAAAATGGGTCCACGTCTCGACGAGAATACTCTTCTCTCGAAGTAGCTATAAAATTAAAACACAAAAAAATATTTTGGATAAAATTGGTACAAAACTTTTTTCTGTTGAAATTTAAACACGAAATAAAAAAAATTGTGTAAAAGTAAAACTTTTTACGCCGAAAGTGCACCTTACTACTGCGCATAGGTACGGTAATCTAGTAACTACTGCGCATAGGTACAGTCATCTGGTAACCACTGCGCATAGGTACGGTCATCTAGTATTTATTGCGCACAGATATCTGCCATTTTGAATCCGCAATTTTGTTAAAAAAAAATTATATAAAACTCATAATCAGCTACCCCAAAAATATCTTTATACAAAATTTCATCCAAATCGTTAAAGCTGAACGACAAATGTCCGCCATATTAGATCAGCCATTTTGTTTTTAGAAAAATGGATACCAAATTCCTAATGAGTGACCTCAAAAACCACATACACACAAAACCAACCATTGGCTCTTAACTGTTTTAGTGTCTGTTTAGTGATTGTTTAAGCAGTTACTAAACATCATTATTCTATTCATTAATTTTATTAATGTCAATAATTTATAAAAAAATGCACATACACATACTTGTCAATAATTGAAAAACCAAACCAAAAAACAAAGTGTCAAAATTTTGTCACTTAGACGCTTTATCCACTAGTGTCTTCAATTAATTTATTCATCAATAACATATTTTTCTCAAATCTTATATTTAAAAACATTTGCGATTACTTTAAAAATTAAAACAAGTATGTATTTTTAATGTGTTATACAGAATTACTATTTCAGGAAATTTATATTAACGGCGGCAAATAAATCAAAGGTGCACAGTACGTACATGCGTGGTGATATGGAATTCTACCGTACCTTCATTTGCAAGTTATACATAGGGAAAATACATTGTATGTGTAACAGACAAGTCGAAGTCGGCGCGGTCAGCGCGAAACGAAAATGTTCCCAGAAATTATTTTGACGAGTGGATTAGTAGACTAACATGCGACGTAACAGGTGACCTTGTTTACTGGTGATTAAAATTTTATTACGTCCAAATAATTTCTGAGAACTTTTTCGCTTTGCGCTGACTTCAACTTGTCTGGTCCACCTACAATGTATTTTCCCTATGTATAGCTTGCGGTATATCTATATTAAATAAATATCTGTTTGATTTTAAGTACCGGAAAAATCGAGAGAGATTGTCGGCGAGAGGGGGCATTCTTTTGTCTCGTTTCGATGGAATCCCTAACGGGGCGAAATACGCGTAATAGATTAGTATCTAACTTTGATATGTACTAACCAGCCTTACCACATGTGCTGAATGATTCAGCCTAAATCGCAAAATTCACAAATTCACAAACACTATAAACAATTGTTTTTAAGGTAGGTACCAACGTATACCTTCCGCCAATCTTATGCAAATGGCTGCAGAGCGCAGGTGTTGTCGATTTATACCCCCATCATCGTCGAATTCGATCGATTGCGGGATTGCAAGTATAGGATTTCCGCGATTGCGGGATTGCAGATAGGGATTTCGGCGATTGCGGGATTGCGGGTAGGGATTTCGGCGATTGCGAAGTGACTGCGGGATTGCGGGTAAGGATTTCGGCGATTGCGAGTGATTTCGGGCCAAATGTACACGTATTGCGGAAGGTGGTTTCCCCCTCGATTGTAGGTAAATGTTTACCACATACAAGAAAAATACAAAAAATTAAGTGAATTTACTCAATTTTTTTTATTGTTTTTTCTAAAAATGGCAAACAAAATTTACGTCAAAATTTTGACATTGCCACATTTTTTTTACTTCATATTTTTTTGTTTAAAATTGATAATATAAACAAATTTTACCAAAAGTCCAGAGTTGGCTAAATTCGTCGTTTCGGAATTATTATTTTAATGAAAATGCCATTTTCTAGTAAATTCGTGGTTTATTAGCCTTTTGGTTTATTCCAATTCGTGGTTCATCGCAAAAATTTGGTATTGGTAGGGTCATGAAACTGGGGTGACCTTTATAAAGTCTAATTTAAAACTTTTTGACATATTTGACATATTTTAACTTCTGGTTTCACCGAAAATGCTCTTAAGTAAGTAAATTAAATTATTAAAGATTTTAGAGTAAAATGTAAATTCTTAATATTTTTGCATGTTCTTTGGCTAACTAAAACGCCATAAAGTCACAGCTTATCAATGGGAGAGTAGATAAATACATTTAACTTATTTCAAAAGAATAATTGGTGTAGCGGAAATGTCTGCATCTCATACTCAAGACAACGTATGCGTAACTACGATTTTTATTTTGTCGTAAAAATAATTGTTAAAAGAATTTCTACCTCATTAGCTGTACTGAAGGAAAAATTTTTCATTGTATAATGTTTTATAAAATCGTATAAAATTTTGTAGTTTCACAGAAATAAAAAGATTATGTAAAAAAAGTAATCGTACTGAAATTAAGTAAAACAAGCTCAGCAAGCTGAGCTTGGTGCTCACTGCGGGTGGGAATCGCGCCGTGACCGCTCCACCTAAGTGTATGGTAATTTTAATGATGATTTCTCACATGTTATCTGTCATCTTTCACATGTTATCTGTCACATGTCATCTTTCACCTGTCATCTCTTACCTGTCACATGTCACATATAATTTTTCATCTGCCATTTGTCATCTGTCACCTGTCATCTATCATCCGTCAACTTGAC